CCAACAGAAACTGCCACTAGGGCTCCTACCTGTAAAGAAGTGGGGATGGGAGCTCAAAGGGAGCAGGGTTAGGACTGTGAGGATGGTACGAGAAGGAAGACGTCAGGGAGCACCAGCTGCAGGGAGGAGCTTCAACTAGACAATCAGAGCTGGCAGACTGCAAAGAGCAAGCTCTCCAAGCAGAGCATCTGGGTCTTAGCATCTACCATCCCAAGCGAGGCTGGCTCCAACTTGGTCTGGACCACTGAGCAAGGATAATCAAATGACCGAATCCTAGGTTGTCCCTGCCAATCCTTCCCAGTTGTCCATTTTATGGATGGCAAGATTGAGGCCTCGCAGAGCAGGGAAGGTGTGGCCAACTGGAGCAGCACCTGGATTAGAACTAAGCCCCAGGACCTGTGTTTCCCAGCCCTCTCTACTCTAGGTGGGTCTAGAGTAGGAGTCTCTATCTGGACCCCAGAGGTCAGAAATGAACTCCTAGAGCTCTAGCATCTCCCTTACATCTGTTGCAAAATGTCAGGTCTCTGTGCATTTCTGAGAAGAAGCTCCACAGCTTGCACTGGGTTTTCTGAGAGATTGTATCCTTGTTTCCAAAATGTCTGAAGGAAAAACGATACAAGCAGACAGAGCATTGCTGTGTACTTCCATTCTCCATCCCTCAGCTTGCAAGAGGGGAGGCCCTGCCACTGTCCCTCAGTCAGGAGGAAGATCCTGTTTCCAGTCTGGAAGTCTGCTGTCTTCACAGTCTGGGGAGGGGGCTGGGGAGCAATGACAGGGCTCCTCTGTGTCTTTGTCACGTTTCCCCAGCCTGAGCAGGAGTGCTAACTCACGCTTGCTCACTTTTCTTCCTCGAAGCTCAACCCACACATGCACCCTGCTCCCCTAGGCTGCTGGGAACTGTCAGTGGAATTGCTGCAGAAGGCTGCCAGAATGCCATCACCGCATCCACCTCCCTCTTTGTTTTGCCCAAAATTCTAGGAACCCTTTGGGATCATCTGGGGGAGCCTTCTTATTTTCTAGGGAGAAAGATGAGACTCAGAGAAGGGAAGAAGTATTCTCACATTTACACCTGTTCTAAAGGTAGAGGCTAGGAAGAAAATAATGCAGGCTTCACCTTCACGTTCAGGGACAGGGTTTTTTGTTTGTTTGTTTTTTGGGTTTTTTTGTTTGTTTGTTTTTGTTTTTGAGAGGTTTTTGCTATAGGGCGCGTGCGCTCACCAGACAGACAGAGAGAGACAGAGGGACAGAAAGTGAGAAATCACCCCCTGGGGGGGATGGCCACGGGGCCACGCCTCCGCCACGCCGCAATCCCTTCTCCTCCATTCTCCTCTCGGGATCTTGGGCACGCATGCGCACGCGCCCGGCGTGAGTTTTAAGCCACCGGGTCCGGGACGCAAACCACGGTCGACTACATGGGAGTCCAGTGACATAGTCATTACGCTAACTGCTGGTCCCAGGGACAGGTTCTTGACCTGGAGACCCCATGCAATCTAACAGATTAGGTAAATGGAGGGATGTGACCACATCCCACTGGAAGATGTTTTCTCCCTCTCTATCTCTCTCTCTCTCTCTCTCTATCTCTCTCTCTCTCATAAGCATGCATGCCTTTTGGCAATTAACAAACATAAAATAGAAAAAGAATAACAGCACAGCATAGCTTCCACTATAGGAGAAGAACTAGGTGTGGTTCCTTGCAGAGTTTGCAGCAGCATAATCATATTCACACACATAGAGACGGGATGGGTGTACAGGGGGACCTGCTATCCACTTCCAGTCTCTTCTCCACCCAGCTATCAGTGAAACCCTTAGTGCAATGTGGTTAAAGAGACTCTGCCTTTCTTTTTCCCTTCCTCCCTTTTATTTTCTTCCTTCTTTCTTCCCTCCCTTCCTTCCTTCTGCCTGTGGGGCTTAGTATGGACCATACTGCAGAGAAGATGCTGAGGTTGCAAAGCAGGCCCTAGGAAGGAAGCAGACCCAAACTCGGATCACTAGGCTATAATGTGACAGTCCCTGGTGATGAGCATCCCAGGTCATCATGGGAACGCAGAAGGGAGGCTCTCAACTCACACTGGACCATCTTGGGCTTCTGCAGGGAGATGAAGCTGGGGCTCCTTTTTCCACCTTGCTGAGCACCTGCCGTGTTCCAGACATCAAGCTGGAGCTGGGCATGGAATAGTGAGGACAGGCAGATCTTTCTGTCTGGGTGCAGGGGGAGGTTTCTGTTAGTGCTGGGCTGTGGGCTTTTGGTGCCTCCTCTCTGCACTAGTGGAACAGAATGCTCGCTGTCTGCCTTTTCAACTGCTGAGAATTCTGAGAGAAGAGCTCCAATCTTCCTCTGCTACCTCCTAAGGGCATAGGGCTGAGGGGGGCCATCACCCACCTCCACATACCCCCTGCAGAGAGCCTGTCCCCAGTGACCCACTGCACAGGGTTCCCACAGAGCTCTACTCTGTCCCTCTCAGAGCCACCTCTGTGTCTGCCACATTATAAGGGCAGGTGGGGGATTCGTTTGGGCAGGAAGAGTAAATTCTAGATTGAATCTAAGGGACGTGTTTCCTTCACTGTTCAGAGGTGTGCTCCCTACATCCTCCCCACATTACATAGTTAAAGTGCCCTGAAACGGACAGTCCTCGGGTCCTAAATCACTCGGGTTCCGCATGCCATCAGGGAATTCGGAAGTGGAACCAATAGACCCTGTACATCAGATGAAATGCAGCAGCCATGGGATGCTTTAAATAATGTAAGCAATGTGGCCACTGCACTTAGTTTAGGTATTTGATATTTTTTAAAATAAGACTTTATTATTCTAAGCCAAATTTCAATGAAAGAAAACTGGAAAATGACCAGTTTCCCACTCAGCCTCTGTGGTGTGCAAAGAGGACAAACAGAATCAAAATACTACTTGGCTTTTAGGCCCAGAAAGACAGTGTCTGGTGGCCAATGTGCAAATATTATTCACTCTGAATTTGCTGTGCAGCCCGGAGCAAGTCACTCCACCTCCCTGCTCCAGTCTCTTCATCTACAGAATAGGGGTGAGAGCACCTGCACTAGGGGGCGTGGCTAGTGAAAGAAGAAAAGTGAAAGTGTATTTTACATGGTATCATTTGATCATGTCTGTTTTTCTCCCCCTTTTGAGAGCCTCATTATTAGAGGCTTGGATAAAAGCAGAATACTGCACAGATCTGAGAGATCATTTTCTACTACCTCTAATTTATAAGGACTCTCCATTTCCAAGACTGAGAAATGATCTCCCTTGTAAGGAGCCCGAAGGGAGGCCAAGTTTCTGTACTTCAGGTTCGAGATTTCTACACTTCCTAATCATCTGAGGTAAATGCCATGTTCAAAGGGCTGGGAGATTATTCCTGGGTTTAGGAAGAAAAGGACAATGGGAAAGTTTACCTTCAAAAGGCAACTCTGTCTCTGCAACCTCCGTACTCCAACCAGAGCCATCGCTTTGAATTATACATGAGGCGCTTGCGGGAGCTGTGATGATTTTTCAAATATTTCCCTAATTGATGAGTGGGCCTTTGATAAATTGCTGTAGAACCAGGAGCATCTGATCACAAGGAATTCTGTCTTGTTCCTCCTCGACAGATGTTTATTTGACTTAAAGGGGCTGTGAGGTCCAAGGGAGCTACTTAGCCCTCCTGGAACTTTCACTGTAAACAGAAAATTCTAGGGTTTTGTTTTTAAACCTGAACAAGGACAGTTCTCAGAGGAGGCCAGCTAGCATTCGGATGAAGGGGCTTGGGGGTGGAGGGTTGAGGTTCAAGGTCCCTATCTGGCCTGAGTTCTTGCTGCTCCCTAACGTCCTCCTCACAGTGGCAGAAGGGTGCTTTCTAACCCTCAGCTCCAGGGGAGAGACAAGGGAATCTAAGAACCAGGGCGCACAAGCACCGACCAGCCAGAATGTCAGAACGGTGTCCCACTCCAGGTACCTGCTGGGTCAGGTATTAGCCTTTTCTTACCAGATCATGGTGAGGTTCTGGGACCCAGGGAAGGACACTAGAATGGTGGAGTATGTGGTAACGAAGAGCTTTGGTGACTCGGGGTGCCTTGAACAGGGGCTTTGGCTACTTGGTATGGAGCATTTAGGTATGTTCTAAACTGGTGTGCTTGTCCAATGTTTCATGTTTCTCCCATTCCTTCTTCCTTCCTTCTTCCCTTCCCTTTTTCTTTCTTCTATGAGTGTGAGAAACAGCAACAGAGAGACAGCACACCCCGCTAGGTCCTCCCACCGCAATCCACCCCCAACCAGACGTAAATCCCAGGCAAGTGCATGCCTGGTGTACCCAGGAATGTCTCTGGATTTGAACCAGAAACCTTCTCAGGTGGGATTGCCTTGCAGAGCATCACATTTTACTTCTGCATCACTGTCTGGCCCCAGAGTGGTTCTCGATGAACACTTCTCTAGCTCTCCCTCATAAAAGAGCACATGCAAATCAGCACACTTACAAATTCTTCTTCCTCTCACTCTAACCCATCTTTCCCACCGCATCTTCTCTATTCCTGGTGCCCCCACCCCATACCCCTGACTTCCAGCCACCTCGACTTCCTGTTCATTACCTACAGTCAGACCCCTTCCATGAAGCCTGGCCTGCCTGACCCCACTCTAATTCTGACCCCTGTCTCCAGCATCGAGTCCTCACTTGCCTGATATTGTCATAACATTATCACAAATGTCTGATCTAGCCTTTAATGAGCTGCATTGCAATTTTCTAACCTGTGTGAGATGTTAACCTGTGTATGACGGACGTTGGTCTGATAAATGAGATTTATTGGGCTCATCTTTCCACCTGTTATTGCAGGACCACCTCACACACCTCTCATGTGATTTCTGGAAGCAGCAGAGTACAGTTCATGTGAGTTCACCAAAAACTCTTATTGGAGGGGACTCTCCTTTCCTGCTTCCTTGCTGAGGGGACTTTGCTAGTGCAACGTGCTGTCATCCAACCTGACTGGTGAGTGCATGAGAAGGGAGTGGGCATGCAGGGACTCACCTTTCACCCCCTTCCTTCTTGCTACCTTGAGATCTGCCACACACAGAGGGAACGTCTTCTCCAAGTCACAGACCAGCTTGTGTAAGGAGCCTGTTCTTTTCAGGACTGCTTGTCATTGGGTGGATGAGTACGGTTCAGGGTGTGTGGGCAAGCCTCCTGTCCAGAGCTGAGCAACATCTTCCAGGACAGCTTTACTGGGATCAAAGACTGGTCCTGCTTCCACTCTGGGCAGAGGGAAGTGAGAGGGAGTGTTATTTTTTAAGACTCCTCTAAACCCAGAAGTCACAGAGTATGTAGGCATTAAAAGGACAAGAAGGGAATGCTATATACAAGTCCGTGAACATAATTTCAATAGCTTAATTTAAATGGACCAGATATTTGAAAGTGATTGATTGATTAAACTCAATTAGGAAGAAATGGACAACCTGAGTAGTTCTATATTTATTAAAAGAAATAGGATTTTAGGTGATGGATATGCTACTTACTCTAATTTGATCACTACACATTGAATATATGTATTGAAACATCACTCTGTACCCCATAATATATACATTATTACCTAACCATTTAAAAATAGAAGTTTAAAAGTAATATAAGTAAGTAAATAATCTCCTATAAAAGAGAACTCTAGACCAGGATGATTTCACTGCCACATTCTGTCAAATATATGAACAATAAATAATGCCAATTCTATATAATCACTTCCAGAAAACAGAAGAGGGACTATTTTATAACTCATTTTATAAGGCCAGCTTTATTCTGAAAACAAAGCCATATCTATACAATCATTTCCAAAAAATGAAGAGGGACTACTTCATAACTCATTTTATAAGACCAGCATTATTCTGAGAGCAAAGTCTTACAAAAATAGGGCAAAGAAGAGGAAACTATAGGCCAATATTCCTTGTGAATACACAAATATACTAAAGGAAGATTAGCAAATCAAATCCAGCAATGCACACACACACACACACACACACACATATATATATATATATATATATATATATATATATCTCACGACAGTACAGAGCTTATCTCAGGAATGCAAGGTTGGTTCAATATTGAAAATCGATCAACATAAGTCATCATATTTCTTTTGTGTGTTATTTTAGGCTTTTGCCATAGACGCATGTGCTCACTGGAGAGAGACAGAGAGAGAGAAAACATCCACCAGGTGGGATGTCCATGTTGTAATCCCTTCTCCATCAGCGTCCTCTCAGGATTTTGGGCATGCATGCACACACACCCCACATGAGTTTCAAGACACTGGGTCCAGTCAGTCACATGAGAATCCAGTGCCTTAACCACTACATCACCTGCTGGCCCCTACCATATTTCTTTTTAATTGCTAGAGGGCATGTGTACTCATCAGAGAGAGAGACAGAGAGACAGAGGGTAAAAGAGAGGGAGAAAGCATCCCTCAGTGGTGATTGGTCACACTACAATCCCTTCTGCACTTCTCCATTCTGCCAGGATTTTACGTTTACACCACAGGTACCCAGTGAGTTTTTCATGTTCCTGGGGCTGGAATTTGAACTGTAGTCAGTCATTTGGGATCCAACTCCTTAACCACTAGGCCATGGGGCCAGCCCCAAGCCATCATATTAACCGGCAAAAGAATAAAAACCTTATCATCATATCAATTGATGCAGAGGGGGAATGAAAGACAAAATTTAATACACAGGGCCAGCCATGTAGCCCACGGCTTAAGGGAACTGGATCCCACATGAGAGACCATGGTTTGACTCTTGGCTCCGGTGGCTTAAAGAACACACTAGCGGGACCAGCAGTTATGTAATGGCTATGTCGCTGGACTCCCACGTAGTCGACCGCGGTTCGCGTCCTGGACCCGGTGGCTTAAAAAACTCACGCCGGGCGCCTGTGCGTGCGTGCCCAAGATCCCGAGAGGAGACTGGAGGAGAAGGGATTGCGGCGTGGCCATCCCCCCTGGGGGGTGATTTCTCACTTTCTGTCTCTCTGTCTCTGTCTGTCTGGCGAGCGCACGCACCCTATAGTGAAAACCTCTCCAAAAAAAAAAAAAAAAAACACACTAGCATGTGCATGTCCAAAATCCCAATAGGACAGAGAAGTGAAGGAAAGGGGATAGCACTGAGGTCATACCCCATTGAAGAAGCTTTATTTCTCTTTCTCTCTGTGTGTTTCTCCAGCTTTCTTTAGCAAGCACACATGGCAATTATTAAAAAAAAAAAATCAACATGCATTCATGATAAAAATTTTTGCCAAACTACCAATAAAATTTCCACAACTTGATTAAGACTGTCTACAAAAGTAACATTAAACTTAATAGTGGAAAATCGAATGCTTTCTCCCAAAGAGGAAAGCAAAGCTATTAACCCTCACCAGTGCTATTCAGCATTATGCTGCCAATCCCAGGGCAGTAAAGTAAGAGAGAGAAGTATGGGCCAGTCTGTGGCCTGCTGGTTAAGGCTGTTGGGTCTCACATGGCCACTTCAAGTCCTGGACCCGGCAACTTAAAAAACACACTGGGTATATGTGCGTGCATACCTAAAATCCAAAAAGGAGGAAGAAATGGGAAGGGATTATAGCATGACCATGCCCCATGGGAGGTGGTTTCTTGCTGCCCTCTCTTTCTCCCTGTCTCTCTCTGGTGAGCAAAATCTCTCTCTGGCTAATTTTAAATAAATAAATAGAGACTATAATGGAAAAAAAAACTTCCCATGATTATAGAACATCTCAAAGAATCTACATTAAAAATAAATAAATAAAAACTCCTAGAACAGGAGCTCCGGTGCAGAAACTCTTTCGCCGGATATAGTCCCACTTGTCTATTTTGGGGATTATTGCCTGTAATTTAGGGTTCTTATTTAAGAAGTCTTTGCCTACTCCAGTGTCTCCAAGAATGCTATCTCTCTGTCTTTCTGTTGCTCTCTCTCTTTCTCACTCATAAAAGAAATAAATAAACTTTTTACAAAGTTGCAAACAACTCAACAGAAGGAAGACTGAATAAATAAATAGGCAAACAATTTGAACAGACACTTCCCCAAAGAAGATACACAAATGACAAGTTCATGAAATTCAAAACAAAATAAAGCCACTATGGGATACCATTATAATCTGTTAGAATGGTGGGGGACGGGGAAGGCTGCTGGTGAGTATGTGGAGCTATTAGAAATCTTACCTATTGCTGGAGAGAATGAAAAAAAGAACAGCCACCCTTAGAAAACAGTTCGGCGGTTTCTTATAAAGTTAAACATACACAAACCATATGACCGAGCAATCCTACTCCTACATATTTGGTCAAAAGAAAAAAAAATGTCTTCACACAAACAGCAACTTTATAGTCGCCCAAACTGGAAACAAGTGAGTGATCCCCCTGGGTGAATGGATAACCAAACTGGTGTCTTCGCACACTGGCATACTACGCTGCAATAGTAAAGGAGTGATGAATGCACACCGCCGTGTGTGTGAATCTCAAAGGTGTTATGCTCAGTGGAAAAGCCACCTCATGGGGTTTCGTATAGGAATTCCACATATGACATTCTGCAAAAGCCAATCTGTAAGAATGGAGAACAGACCAGTGACTGTGTGGGACTGCGAGTTAGGGGAGGGTTTGACTACAGAGGAGCAGCACGTGGGTTTGTTGGTGGCACTATTCTATACCTTGATGGTGGCAGTGGTTACAACAAGTCCCTTCTCATATGACTGTACACACACACACACACACACACACACGTGAGTACTCACATATACAAACAAAACCAAACATTCTCTCCACCAGCCTGTCATGGCCACACTAACTCCATCTTTGTCTGTCCCTTCCAGTAAGGTCTCCTTCCAAGAAATCTCTCAGTCCAACCTCTGTTCTCAGGGCAAGCCCATCAAAGATGCCAAGGTGTGGTCTTCCCTGTGCTGCCCCCCCCCCAACCAGAATCAGGCACTACCTTCTTCCCTTGATGCTGTTGTCATCACTGCCACATACCTCTGCCACCAGGTAAGTCCCCCAGCACCAAGGTTCCACATTGGACTGCGCCTTTTCCAAGCCCCTGTGCACCAAAGCCATGGGGTAGTTTGTGCTAAAGGGGAATCAAAATGCTTTTCTGCATTATGATTTCATAGAGAAGTTGCAAAACACTCCTGATTTATGGCTTATGGAAATTTTTGTAAACAGTTTTGTAAAAAATTTTGTAAAAACAGCTCATGCTGTTTTATTTTCAGTGGCAGCTGAGACCCTGCCCTAAGACACACGGCTGAGCTGGAAGACAAAACTGCGTGGGAGACTCCATGCAGTACCCAGACAGAGCCTTCCCTCCAACCATGGAGGCCCCTCTTT